TTTTATTAAATTACATTTAATTTTTACTTTTTACTATTAAGTGAGGTTATTGGAAATCATTCCAAAATATTAGCAAGTGTTATCATGAATGATTTTTTTTTGTTTAATTTAAATAATTTATCACAATTATCTTTTTATTATCACATGATTTAATAAAGTGAACTTATTGAATCCAGTACATCTGTAACATCTTCAATTTTTAGATGCAATTTCTAATTAATTTCTTTTTTAATAATGTTAAAAACAAGATAATTTTTTTCAAATGTATTTTCTACCAAAATTTTAACAAAGTTTCCCCGTAAATTCAAGATATCAAGTTATCAATATTATAACCTATAATACAATACATTCTCAAGCACAATCCAAATTACAATATATTTGGAGCACAATCCACCCTTTTTAGACCTTATCTTTTTTATTTAACCAAGTCAACCACATATTCTTTTCATTAACGTTACCATAATAAAAAAAAGACAATATAGTAGGATTTTAAAATTGAATTATATTAGATTATCACACACCTTCATGTAATTTAAAGAAATGAAATAATTAAAGGAAATACATATAATATAATAATTAAAGACTTACTAACATAGTTAAACTTCTATCTTAATCAAACAAAAATGAGATTAAATTACTTTTAAATTTTTTCATTTCATCCTAAGTACAACTAAAATACATTAATAAATATATTTCAAAAGGTTCTATTAGTAAAGACAAAAAGGACATTAAATATATATATTGCTCCACTCGGATATGTGAAGACCTGATAATTTAAATCATTCATTAAATTAAAAGATTTAAACAATAATTTGAATAAATTTAAACACAAATTCATTATTTAATTTCTCTTACAATCAACTTTGAGAATTTTACAGTTTATATATTTATTCTTGAAAACATATAAAAATAAATGTCTTAATTATTTGTCAAATAGATGTCACTAGCTTCTCTTAATTTAATATATTATATTAATTGCATGAATATAGATGTCACTATCTTTAGCTAGTTTTATATACTATCTCAGTTGTTTGATTATTTAAACACAGATGTCATTAGTTTCAGCTAGTTTAATTAAATATTATAATTGTCTAGTCACAAATATCACTAGCTTCAATTAATCTAAACAAATATCATAATCATCTAGATACAGATACCACCAGCCCCAATTAGTATGAAATATTTTTTTAAAACATAATTTACATTTACAAGAAATGAAACATATTTAATAAAATTTAGCCAATAAATCTATAAATTCCTAAAAGTGTTCAAGTGTAGAACACCTATCTTATGCATGTGCTTTAGATGCAATCCTCTAATATTAAATAGATCTTTGGGCTTTCCTATATAACAATTTTATAACATCTTAAACTAATATAAGAATTTCACTTGAATTTTGAATCATCATTAATAATTTTTTACAAAACAATTTCATGATGATTAAAAAATTCATAAAATCTGATATTTTTCATTTTCTTTCCCTTAATCATCAAAGCCACAATCTCTTTCAATACCATGATTTATTTTCAATTCTTAATAAAAAAATATTTCCTTACATGAGAAATCAAACACAATACAACAATTTACTTTTACATTAAATAATCTTCCTCAAGAATTGTAACTCGTAATAATATAAAATTCAATCATTTAATACAACATAATTAATTTTATTTATAATCATCTTCCACATAAATTTATACATTAATCTAACACAATTCCATCATATATTAATTTGTTCCCTCTTGGTCAACTCTATAGATTCTATTGAACCATATGATTTTTTCTTCATGATTTCTTTTTAATTTCCCTTCTATTATAATCTACTCTATTCTAATCTCTATCATCACAACAAATTTTATATTTTCCTCAAATTTCTATAATGAGCCCTAAGCTAAAATTCATAAATTTGATATCAATCCCTTTTGTTTTCAATTGAATTTATAGAGTTAGGTTTAAAACCTCTTAGGCGATAATAAAATGAATTTTAAATGCTAAATTGTTGAAATGTTTTTGCTCTTCCTCTTCTTTTTTTTTTTTTTGTCTTTTTTGCTGCTGCTTCTCTCTCTTGTTTTCTCTTTCTCTTTCTTGATTCTCTTTTATTTATTTATTAAGTCAATGCACTTAAATTCGCACCTACTCTTTAATTGAAGCCTTAACTCTTGAATCATCCTGAGATCAACTCTCCGATTTCTATTTTCTCCTCTTCCCTCTCTTTAAAAATCCTGGCCAACAGTATACAGAGCAGGGGCGGAGCAAGAAATTTTTTTTGAGAAAAACAAATTAAAAGAATCATTTTAAAAATATTTATTTTATTGAAATATGTATTAAATGAGAGCTAAGAGAAAAGCTGAGAAAATTTTTCTTGTAAGGGCCGGGTCCCTACTAGCACCCCGCCTCCGCCACTGATACAGAGGAAGAAGAATTGAATTTCTCAATCTTTCATTTTATTTATAAACATATCATTAATGAATTTCTATTTTACTTTTCTATTCAATTGCTAACAGTTTCTTGTGGCTTTCCCGAATACCGATTATTTAAAATTTGTGGCTTTCCCGAATACCGATTATTTAAAATTTATCAACGATACAATAATATGTTAAGGGATTTTCTATAAAATTTTAATTTAATTTAACAATTATATTGAGATTTATACAAATTAGCGTAAAACTAGTTAATTAATAATTTAAGGTTAAAAATTCAAATTTTTTGATATCATTCTTACATGAACCTAATTAGTACCATTTTATTGTTAATATTTATTTTTTATTTTATTTATAAATTTGTTATCATCTCATAGTAACATAGTAACGTTATTAGTTTCATCTGGGTTTATACTAAAACATTTTCATGTTTTTTTTTTTTTTAATTTTTATACATTGAAGCTTATTTAAGAATTTCCTTTTCATTTATCATTTATTATAAATTTTTACATGATTTGAGTTACGAATCTTTCTTTACTTAAAAAATATTTTGATTTATACAGAATTTAGTTTTATATTAGAATAATTGTTATTGTTATTGTTATTGTTATTATTATTATTATTATTATGATATATGGGGACTGCTGGGGTTGGACTTCCAGCAAAACAGAAGAAAACTTGAGAGAGGAAAAAAGGTAAAAACTTCCCTCATTTGCACACCTGCAAGAAAAATCCTTTCTTTTTTAATTTTTTCATCCGCCACCAACGACCAAGGAGAAACATCTCTCTCCTCTAGAACACACTCTACCAATTGAATTCCATCTACCGCAGCATCGTCCTCCTCGAGCCCTAAACTTTTATAGGATAAAGGCGCTAATAACACTTAGCTAACTCAAAGGGGCTTCCATCTAGCTCTCACTTTACACAAAGCTGAAAAAATGGCACACTCATGCCTCTCCACATCTACCTCTCTTCTCTTCTCTCCTAACCCTTCACCGGGCTCCGCTTCCAATGCCCACAAATTTTCTTTCCCTTTCCACCCTCTACGTTACAGGTCAACCATTCTCTTTTTTTACTAATTTTGTTTTTTCCAGAATTGAGACACGGATGTTTGCCAGTTACCCTATGGTTTTACCATTATTATTATTATCAGTGTTTCTGGATTAACTGAAGAGTAATAAAGGAAAAAAATTTGAATCTTTGAACTATTTTTTGATTTATTGGATGCTCAACCCGTATTGTAACTATCTTCTTCTTTTTTTTTCTTTTTATAAAAGTAAGTTTTTAATTGCAGGTTGGATTTACGCTCGATTGAAAATACTCTGAATAATCTTTTTGTTTTTTGAATGGATAATTGCTATTAGTAAGCTAGAATTTACCTCTTGCATTTGAAAAATGTTCCATGTGTGCCGTGATTAACTACTCAATAAATTCAAATGTCCTCGTTTTGTACATGTACTGCAGAAAATTGAGAAAGTTAGGTAGTGATAGAAAGGCAATCCAGGCTTCTTCAGTGAAGGCTGTCTACTCTGGTGAGTTTTGGGCACCTGAGAGAAGTTTGCGGCAGGGGATTTGGTCTCTGAGGTGGGTAGGATTTACCCCCTTTAACTTGCTGTGTTTATTTGCTTGATGTGCTAATAAATGGAGAAGAAAATGTGGAATTGGTTTTGTAGGGAAGATTTGAAAATCCCTTCTTCGCCCTTCTTCCCTGCCCATGCAAATGGAGCTCAAGGGCAAGGACCACCTCCAATGGTGCATGAACGGTTCCAGAGTGTTATCAGTGAACTTTTTCAACATGTAAGTGAATACATCAATCATCTTGCTTTCTCTTCTTGCTTATCATCTATCATTGAATGCTTGGCTGTTTTTATTAAGAGATTTGATCTTAGTGTTGTTAAAATTCCTAGAGAATTATACGCTGTGGTGGAGCTGTTGATGATGACATGGCAAACATTATTGTTGCTCAACTTCTCTATCTCGATGCTGTTGATCCTAACAAAGTGAGTTTGGTGACTTTCGTTGTGGCTGGCTGATATCTTATCGGTCATTGTCAACTTCATTTCAATTTGCGTTTGCTTCTGAGCCCCCTAACAGCATTAAAGCTAATGATTCCATCCTTCCATTATTAACAGATTTTAGTCAAGTTCATGACTATAACACATGCACAAACACGAGACAAAATGAACCTGTTTTAACACTGTCCTTGATCATACGAAGAATTGAGGCAAACAGTTTACTAACCAGGGATTGCTTTTTCTTCCAAGCAGGATATTGTTATGTATGTGAATTCTCCCGGAGGATCAGTTACAGCTGGTAATTCCTTTTCAGATTGAAGTCTCCTTTTATTTGTTACATTTTTTCAGTTTCCGAGCATGTGAATTAATGTTGTTTTTACTTGTTTGGAGGCTTACTCTCTCTCTCTCTCTCTCTCTGTGCCTTTTCTCTGTGCTTCGTTTTTCTTAGGCATGGCAATATTTGACACAATGAGGCACATCCGACCTGATGTCTCCACTGTCTGTGTTGGACTGGCAGCTAGGTACAAGATTTACTAGTTCCCTGTTTTCTTTCTTGTCATTTATACCCTAACTGCTACACGAATCACTGATTTATACTATGTACTATATTTTTACTGTTACCTATACCTTAGTTGATCAATGAATCATTATAGACTGAGTTCTTACTATATTTTTCCTTATACCTAAACCTTAGTTGCACAGTGAATCATTATAGACTAATGTATTGCCTCACTTAGTCATCAACTATTAGAAGAACTATGTTTTATTAACAGGAGCTTAATTGAATTATGAAAAAATAGCTTTTCTGTCATGGGTTGGATTTAACATTTCCAACGTTGCTCCTTTATGAGTCAAACAGCATTAGTTTTGAAACTTCGAAGGAATCTATATGATGTAGATTTGTCAGGCTTGCCTAAGTGTTAGGATGGGAGAAATATGTTTTAGTGAATTATATGGAATGTTAGTTGATGATCAGGGAATTATATCTGTACCGTCTCAGTAGATGCATGTGGTGAACTGTTTTTTTCTGTGATTTTACCATGGGAATAGCTTAAATGATTTGGTGTCTAGATCTTGAGCTAATGGCTGTTGATCATGCAACCTCAAGGTTCTTATGATAGATCCTCAGCGAGGAAAATTACTAGGTGAGGTAAGCTCACCATTGGACCACACTTAAAGTGATTCTGGGACTCCCCCCTTGTTTGTGTGGGCTAATGGTTAGCCATGCTCATCTAATGATTTCTTCTTGATAACAGAGTTGAGCTGGATGCATCACTGTAACAAAATTTTAGAAACTGAATTTATCTAGGATCTCAGAACCCACCTTTTTCCATGACACAAATTAAAGCCAATATTCCTCAAGGCCTGGTAAATATTTCTGCTATTGCTTGTCCTGTGTATGAGTGTTGTATGTGGTTGTCTTTTAGATGATTATCCTCTATATCCTTAGAGTTGTAGTGCATCCTCGTAGGGATTCCATGAAGGATATGTGACTTCCCTGCATATATGAAGTCTTTTCCTTGGAATTATATGCTGCATTTTGTCCCAATTAAGGTCTACCAATAATTGTCAAAACTTCTTCCATACTTCCTCTTACAGGCCGAGGACTCGGTATATTAAACTATTTACCTGATCTTTCTCCAGACACATTATGAACAGAGTGCTTATGAAACCACTAACATTCTGTGTTGCGTGTAAAAATAATTATTTTTAAATTTAAATTCTATGAAATGGTGGGAAAGGGAAAAAAATATGCCCATGACAATACCATTTAATTTTCATTCAGGATTCTTGAATATTTTCCAAATTATTTTTATATTTAAATTCTATGAAATGGCGGGAAAGGGAAAAAAATATGCCCTTGACAATACCATTTAATTTTCCCTCAGGATTTTGAATATTTTCCATTGCTAGCATTCTGTCTTATGTCGTTTGATCTCCTTTTTTTGGTTAAACAGTATGGGGGCTTTTCTGCTTAGTGCTGGGACCAAAGGTAAAATGCTCCATTGGCTTGTTGACTTAAAGTTCCAGTCTGTGTTTGCTGCTTCAAAATTTGCTGAATATGTTTCTCTTTTACTATGTGACTGAAGGAAAAAGATACAGCTTGCCGAATTCAAGGATAATGATCCATCAGCCTCTTGGTGGAGCTCAAGGTGGGCAATCTGACATAGACATCCAGGTATGCCATCCTTTTTCTCCCTAACTTGTATTTGTTTGTGAAGCCTTTATATTATTTATCTTTAACTGATATATCCATAGTGCTTCTGATTTATAGTCGTACATGTGTCCCAGAGATGAACTAGATTTGATCCAAAATGAGTGTATGTCGCGGTATGGGACCTATTGGTTCCTGGCACAGTTTCTCATATCATTGAAACCATTTGTCTTTGGTCTAAACATCTCTTATAACATTGGCATAATTTTCAGGCAAATGAAATGTTGCATCACAAGGCAAACCTAAATGGGTATCTCGCCTACCACACTGGTCAAAGTCTTGAGAAGATCAACCAGGATACAGATCGTGATTACTTCATGAGTGCGAAAGAAGCCAAGGACTACAGGCTTATTGATGGTGTTATCTTGAATCCTCTCAAGGCTCTGCAGCCACTGGCAGCTGCGGCCGATTAACAATGACCCATCTAGCATTTAATGATCAAGCATATTGATATCCATGCGCTAGGGAATCATAGAACATGTTTTGCTGTTAGTTCAGGCAGAGCCTTTTCTCCCCACACATGCTCTCTCATAATCTTTTACATCCTGGGCGAGTTTTAGCTGAACTAAAGCCTGAGAAAGAGATTGAACGGATATGTGCATCTTTTCACTAGGATCTTCATCACCATTTTTATTCAGCATCATTGTTATTGTAAATGAATGGTGCTGCTTTCGCTAAAGAGCTTACAGTTGAGTTCAGACCAACTTTAGCTCTAGATTGTCGCTCACGGTGCTGAGTTTGCAAGGTCCAATTTGATGAGCAGTGTCTTGGATGTGGAGTAGTGCTTTTTCAGCAGCGAGCCACAGCTAGTAGTCCAACAAATTCTTTCACTCGGTTATTTAGTAAACTACTCATGCCCCCGAATTATATAGCAATTTTCAAGATAGTCCTCAAAAGTTAAATAATCTTCAGTCTCTGTTACTATGTTTACAGTTTCAATGTTTATCGTCTTCAATCATATTATGTTTACAGTTTCAATGTTTATCGCCTTCAATCATATTACAGGGGTGATTATTTCTAGTTTGGTTTGGTTTTTATTAGAAAACCAAACCAATTTTTTTTAAAAAAAAAAAACCGAAACCAGTTTATACCAATGGGCTTTGATTTGATTTAGTTTTTTAGAACAAGAACTAGTTCAAATTAGTTTAGCTTGGTTTTTTCTTGTTTGGTTTGGTTTTTTGATTTGATTTGGTTTTTTCTTTTTTTCTTTTCAGGTTCGGTTTGTTTTTTTTGTTTCAGATTTGTAAAGTCAAAATTGAACCGAATTGGTTGTTTTTTTAAAATTATAATTAATTTTTTAAAATTATAATTGATTTAATTGGTTTTATTTTATGGTTTGATTTTTTTTTTTTGTTATTTGTTTTCTAGTTAATTGGTTTTTCCTCTCTTTTTGTCTCCCACTTCTGATTTTTCGGTAATTTGGGGGCAGTTTTAAAACTGTACTTTTTTTTCCTTGCCTCTTTACTCGCTGCCCAGGGCACCATGTCAAAGCTCTTGAATCGTGCTGCACATTTCTGCACCAATGAAGTGGGCTGTATTTTTGTTATATGGTAGTACTAGAAACCATGGAACATGGACGCTAAAAGGAGGTGGGCAGAGGAGAAAATGCGAGAAAGTAAAACTACGAGCCTGAATATTGATTTTGATGTCTTTTTTTGTAGGCCAGCCGGAGTAGATGCATTCCATTACAAATTCTTTTGTACTTCAACTTGGCTGCTCGAGCTCGGATTAATCTTAAATGGTATAAAGTTCATTTATGAATTGCGGCTTGTGTTTCAACTGAAAGCTGTTTACGGACAAAAGGAAAGCAAAATGGTTGCTTTTTCCCTCCAAATTTAATAAAAAAAAAAGTATAATTATAATTACCTTAACCTCCTTTAAGAAAATCTTTTATCAGCAGAATCCATCTAATATGATGCATCTTCATGCTAAAAAAAATCTAAGATAGATTAAGGGTATAATTGAAAGTATGGTAAATATTATGTTTTAAAGTGTTTTTTCATTTTAAAATATATTAAAATAATAATTTTTTTAAAATTTATTTTTTATACCAGCATATTAAAATAATTAAAAAATACTAAAAAAATTAATTTTAAGCATATGATAGTAAATGTATTTTATATCATGTAGACATCCATATTATTATATCAATAGTATTATACATCTTTATGTCTACAAATATTTGTATCATGTATACAATTACATGTTCTACCATAAACTAAACATGATATATGATACAACAATTTTCCTTTTCCTTTAAAGCAAATCATATCATATAGATTGTATCTGCAGTTAATAAAATAAGTTCAGATTTTTCTAAATTGAAAATCTTGTTTTGAGGTTTTATAGATATAAATTAATATTTTGATGAGTTATTTAGAATACAAATTTTTTTGTAGGAGTATTTTGGTAATTATCTAAAAAATAATCTAAGGTTATCAATTGCGCTGTGCTCTAAGCGTTCCAGGTTTCTTTTTCATTGGATAAACAATTTTTTTCTCAGTTTTTTACACGGCCTTGCATTAATAATAATAATAATAATAATTGGTGCGGCATATCGCCTGGCCTTGCACTTAAAAATTTTCCAGGTTAATTATTGGGATTTAAAAAAAAATTGCATAGTTTATTTTAATTTTTTTTTAGAAAATAACAAGTGTTGAAAAAGTATATAAAAATAATTTAGTATGAACACAATTACATTTTAGAATATTATTTTATACACAACTACTATTTAGAATAGCATTCATGTCTCAGAATATATTTTAATATATTTTTCTACATAACTACTATTTAAAAGATCAATTATTTCAATAAATGCCTTAAAATATCTTTTTTTTTCAAATTAATTAACCTCAATAAAAATTAATCAAATATTTTACAAAGATCCCATGGTTAAAATATAGGATTGAAAATCTAATAACCAAGAAGAAAGAAAGCAAATAAAATGAAGTGGTAAAAAAAAAATAAAGGAAGAAAAAGAAAAAAATAGATCACCAAGAAAATATAAAGACTATTTTCGACATACCTGGGATTGCTAGAAAGATCTCCATAAAATAATTCAACTATACATTAAAAGAATACCAAAGAAGTTCGTAATTAACCCTAAATTAATTCCGAACAAAACTCTAACAAATTACAATTATATTTAGTGGTTTTTCAAAGTGTAATTAAAATCATTTTATTAAAATAAAAATAAAAATATTAAGCATGTCAAAAATAAAAATTTAGTAACCTTTGGGCTATGTTTGTTTTCTAAAAAGTCGTTTCTAAAAAATCAATTTTCAAACTTTTTCATGTTTGTTTGTCATTAGAAAAGTTGGTCAAAAGAAAATACTTTTCTGTAAATAAAAAACACTTTTCAGTCAAAGAAAAATTTGGTTTAGTTTTCAGAAAAATATTTTTTTTTTTGCTGTGTTTGTTTTTCAAAAAGTGATTTTCAGAAAATCACTTTCTACACTTTCTTATGTTTGTTTGCTTTTCCAATCAAAAGAAAATTTGACTTGGTTTTCAGGAAAGTATTTTTCTAGAAAATTTAGGTGGAAAACACTTTCCGAAAGTTATGAAAAATTTAAAAATATCATTATTTGCTGATTATATTAAATTTTATCCTTGAAATTTTGATTGCTATATATATTTTGTTTTGAATATTTATTTTTTAATTTCATCTCTTAAAATTTAATTTTTATATTAATTTTGGTACTTATTTTTATAATTGTTGTTTGCTTTTTCCTTATTATTTTTTTATTGAAATTTTTTATCTATCAAATTTGATCCTTTTTCTTCTGATTGTTACTTATTTTATTTAAAATAATTTATGAAATATTTATTATTATTATTTTAATTTCTTCATCTTTTATTTTTTTTTAATGTTTTATATTTGATTTCTATTATTTTGATTATTATTTATTTTATTTGAGATCATTTATGAAATTATATTTTTTAATTTTATTTGCATTCAATTATTTAATTTGTAAGATTTATTTTTTATTATTTTAATAAATTTATAAAAAATAAAATATTAATAAATTATTTTACAGCTTATTTTTTATAACATAACCAAATACTAGGAACTGTTTTCCAACTTATTTTCCATTACACTATCAAATATCATAAAATAATTCACTTCTTTAAAACTTACTTATCTAAAATTTATTTTTAAAAAAAATATTTTTCAATAAACAACCAAGCCTTAGCCTTATTATTAAATTTTACTTACTTCTTTAAAATTTACTTATCTAAAATTTATTTTTTAAAAAAATATTTTTCAATAAACAACCCAGCCTTAGCCTTATTATTAAATTTTACTTAATTTTATATATATATTAATTAAATTATATGAAATTGAGAGGTATATAATTTTAAAAACAATTATTATTCCTGACAGTAATTACATTAAACTGATATTCTCAACATCGATCATGATATAAAATACCCCAATTATTGATGCACATGACGTCCCTCGGGCTTTTCCCTGATGTAAATGACTTGTCTCCACGAGCATTAAATGAGGTATGATAATATTTGACAGGTTTAGG